CAGGATTGGCTAGTAGCAGTCGTCGCCATTACTGGCTGGCGGTGCCGTTTCCCGAATGGGAACGTCTAGCGTAGGTGCAAGGTGGGACGCATTTAATAGCATCCGGGCCGAACATACGGTGGTACCAGCAGACTTTTTCGTCTGCACGCTCTTTTGAATTAGAGCGATTGTGGTTTGTAGGAGGTCGACCGGTTTGTAGCAGGTTGAGCGTGGAACACATTGTGCTCATTTGACAGCACAATAACCTAACAGTATCTTTAAGATCCTGTAGGTCGTCATCTCTGTTGGCCGGAACATCGCGAATCGGTTGGGAGGGTGAACTCGACCGCGGGAATTATGTACCACGCGATTTGGTCGTCTTTTGTGGCGTACTATTATCAGGTTTACGATCAGATCGTGACATGGAAACCTGGGAAACAGGATGGTTAGGCATTGAGGTCGATTCTTGATGTACAGAGTACGAACTAGCACCGGGGTAGCATTTCTGAATGCGATCAGCATGTTCCACGAGTGTTGTAAGCGGGACAGTGTCGTCTAACAGATCAAGGACATGTTGCATCGGATGGGGCAGTTTATTCATCCAGATGCGGCGGAAAATAGAATCATCTAAAGTGCGACCAGCGAGCAAATGACGCATGTGGCGCATCAGGGCAGAAGGCGTTTGATCACCTAGCTCCACGTTGTTAAGGGGCTGATTAAGCTTGCTGTCGGCAGATTGTGCCGTGGGTTGGAGGAAAGCCTGTTTCAACCTAGAATAAGGCTAATCCTTAGGAATAGGATCAAGAAGATCCTGAACTGGGACTTTTCGAATAGGATATGCTCAGATTCCTAAAAACTCCTGGCACATTTAGTTCGTGACCGTCTATGCTTAGTTCAGGCTGATGATCGTCGCCAACAATCAAAACGGAACATTTGTGCCAAGAAAGGGAGAAGCTCAATGTGCAGCACCAATAGGCAAAGGCTTGAAGATCCTTTTTATGAGCTCGAGCACGATATTGAGATCTGCCGGTTTATATTGATAGGCGACTTTTAAATCGTCAGCGTACATAAAGGGTCTAACATACTGAAAGCAATCAGGAACATCGTTGACAAAAAGGCAAAAATAAGAGCGGTTCCAGTACGCTTCCCTGAATAACTCCACTCCTTACATGTGTGGGGTGTCATTAATACGCCTAATCGGGAGGGAGTCTAGCACAATGATCTTGTTCAGCTTCTGCTTCTCGACGCACAGCCTCGGGTTGCCATTCTTCTTCTTGACAAGAATAACGGTATCGGCCCACGGACAGTTTGAAGGTTCAATGATAACCTGGGAGAGGAGATGTGAGATTATGCTGTTAAGTTCTGTCTGATAGTAGAAAGGTATTCGACGAGGCGGTTGACGTTGTGGTGGAGCGCTGCCGGTAATAATTTCGTGCTGAACCATTCGGGTGTGTTGTCCTGCCAAGGTAAAATAGTTTCGTGAATGGGAATAGAACGCTTTTTAAGGCATGGTAATGGGCAATAGTGGTTTCCTGACGCGTCAGAGGGTTAGCAATAAATGTTGATTTGGTCGATGGTGTAGTGTTAAGCGCATGGACGTCAACGTTTGTATGAATAATACTGATCCGGGAAGTAGAACAGTAGGGAGTTGTTGGGATCCATCATGAGCTGATGAGCGCGGAGGAAGTCTAACGCAATAATTGCATTCAACTTAATGTCCGACGACACCAGCATGGGGTTTACAGCAGTACAGTTTGTGAGGACAATGAAGACGTGATGCATACCAGTACCATGTAGAGGGGAAAGGTCTGCAGCTGCTAATTGGATTCGCTAGGGGAATTAGTATAACTCGGAAAACACATGATATGTAGAGCTGAAGCGCATAGAATCAGTGTCGATGACTATGGCGGTGGGGGTCCCATCGAGTATGCCAGTGATTTTTGTGGGAATTCTGTTGTTTTCTGAGTTAGAAATGGAACGCACTTTAGCAAGACATTTATTATGCCTGAAATTGTTATGGCCACACCTTCTAGCACGGTCCTTGAAGGTCTGAGAGTACCAGCAGACTCTTGAGCCGTTCGGTAGGCGGGGAAGAGTGGGTGCGCCATCAGGTGTAGGACTTTGAATGGAGAAGGTGGAAGGAACACCATAGATTTGGAGAGCGGCGAGTAGATGCGGCGAGTCGGATGCTAAACTCACGCTTAACATCTTCTGAGAGGAGGCCCCCCACAAAACAAAGGAAAACCTGCTGACAGACATCCAAGTCTACAAAGACCTGCTGTCTAAGCCTAATAGGAAACTGATGAAAGATTCCACAGTTTTGGATACAAAATCCGTTGTGGAGTGCAATTTGAGGGTCTTGGGGTCCGAAGTGGGGTCCAGGAGCACCCATACGACACTCAAGTTTTGGGGTTGTTGGGAAGGGAGCTAAGCAAACCGCCGTTTGGCCGTCCGCCTTGGAAGTCCCAATAGATGAGGAGATTGATGGTTGGGTGAGACATGGCCAAATAACATTCAGGTTGCACTCGCCAGTCGGAAAAACTGTCGAAGCGATTCCACGTGCCACGCATATGTATCAACACGCATAGAGTCATATCACAAGGTAGAATGACCTCTGAGTGTTACGGATGAATAATGATGTTGGAATATTAAAAGGGGTGTTGACTAACAGAGGAAACTAGAAAAAGCGGATGATAATAACAATAAAGATACTAAGGGGTTCGAAGAAGAGGTAGAGACGGCTGCGAACGAGCAACCTTCTAAGCCACATTTCTTGGGGTACTGTGCTATATTCAAGCAAACAAATGTGTTCTAATGGGGATTTCACCGAAATGTTTTGTGCGCTGAAGTCCGCAGAGCCGAATTCATTCTCTCAGTCGCACACATTTTTCCTATCCTCAGCGTATTTACCAATCCGATTAAGTATTTGATGCGGAAACGGAGGTAAGCAGCGCGTTAAGGTGTGCAACGCACGACCTGGTCCGTAGTCGCCCCAACAAGCACCAGATAACTTGCAACCCACGTGCGCCAGAGTGCCATGGAGGCCACATCAAAAGGGGAACATAATGTGTTTCCTATTTATGCTATAAAGGTACACCCCGTGCCTGTGACGGTAGTGAGGAGCAGGTTCGTGTGCGGTGTGTGTGTTACTCAAGTAGCGCCTGACGACGCGACGGAATTTACCTTATTAAGCGAAGAAAACCTTCGCCCTTGAGCTGCCCATTCGTGTCCGAAAATCGCAAAAGAGTTTAATCTTAACAATAGTACACAATTCAAATGTAGTCTTAACATCAGCGATAGGTGTGAGTCAGTCGCAAACTGTCGCTTCTGACACTGTGTTCATTCTATCCATCACAGTATCTCATCAAATGAGAATTCAGTTTGGGTTTAAATGTGCCAAGAGTATCTGCAAGGACCACACCTTCAAGGAGTCAGTTCCACGCTCCAATGACCCTTTGAGAGAAGGTGTTCCCTCAAACATTCATATGGGCCAGCTTCCTCTGCAGTTTAAAGGGATGACCCGCAGATAATCCGTCCGAGCCAATTCCAATAAGTCGTCAAATTCTAGGGCGCACTCACGGCCTCTGACAATTCAGTAGATTCTAATGAGGTCGCCGCGTAGTTGCCTATAATTGAGAGGAAACAAATCTAGTTCAGTGAATCTGTCTTCGTAAGGCAGAAGACCAAGATTATTGAACATCTTCGTAGCCCTTGCCTGTACTCTTTCCATTTGCGGGCTTTCGAATTTGAGCTGCCGGTTTTTTTTGCTCTCCATTCACGTGGG